GATCCCTGACGTATTTGGTACGAAAATAACGAGTAAGGATCGGTTATTCCAAATATGGTTATATTGGGCGGTCCTAAATAAAATTGCCCAATGAAAAATGCCATGAAAGATGACATCATTTCGATGAGCTGTCAAGCAGGCCGTAAACAAATGCCTGTTGCCAGCCACGTGATCCAAATCCAGACACTTGATTCGCCAATATTCGCACAAGACGTCATTGCCTTGTTGTTGTGATTGCTCAGCGGTCAAATTCTCGCATCGAAACACCAGCTTTTTTCTTCGAAAACTTGTTCAGAAGTTTGTTTTTAATGAGCTAGAGTTTCATATATCAAGTAAAATACGTGTATTCATCGAGTGGCTAGAACAATGTCGAGGAAAAAGAGGAATTTAACGGATAAAACCGTCGCTTCTTTGTTGAATGATGCATCGGCGTGCGGTATGCCGTGCATGGCTTGACCGAACACCTGGCTGACTACTTCGCGAACCCGACCGGGCCGAGCCCCCGGCCGCGGGCGAGAGAGGAACTCCTTCGTCTCCTAGCTCCGACTCTGATTCTGGTAGGTTTATTAATATTATCATTATTAAAAAGGTATTCAAGTTACTTAGTTAGGTCTACGCCCATATTATTTATTAAAGACTTGTTTCGCCAAAATGTTCGAGCAACAAAAGCTAGATTAGACATTTTAAGTGCACTATTATTTAAATTAAAATTTATTATTAAATTAGATTATGATTTATGAAGCATCTCATACCTATACAAAAATCTCTGCGGAGTCTAGACTACTTGTTGATATTAGTTTTTGAATCTCTATTTTATAATTATACTTAACAGAGTCTGATGAGTTCGAGGAGGCAGGTCCATGACCAGCAGAGCCATGTGAAAGCGGCGATGAAAGCGGCGATGAAAGCGATTGGGTCGATGAGGCAGATGCATGCAGAGGAGCCTATGGATTTGTCAAGTGACAATGAAAGCGTCATACTGGGACCGGGTCCTGTCATTGATGACGAGGAGGAGGCGGCAGCAGCTACAAATCTGGCCCAACAAATACATGTAGATCTTGATCTGGAACCGCTGAAGGACCGCGTGAATAAATGCAACTGCCGTATCTTCAATCGAAGACGCTGTATCAAACAATTCTCTGTAGCCGAACAAGAGTCCATAAGGTATAATTGGATCTGTCACTATTTACTTGTATTTCTTTATAATAATGTCTAAGGACTGGATGTTTATGTACAAGCTGCAGTTTAATGCAAAATATACTTACATTTATTCTAAGCTAATTATATTTTCTCCTATTTTGCAGCATTAATCAGTAGACCCTAACGTATGCTTTAAAAAAAATACTTCACCACTAAACTGTACCAAGCATAATAAATATTATAATTGAGATCCTTAGGAAAACGTTGCAAAGCTCTGTCCAAATTTCAAGTGTTTTAATGAAATGAAATTTGCTACAATACATTTACTCTTTTCTTCTTCCAAGTCAACCAACTTTTACTTTATTGTGAGCTGGTGTTTTCCATTTGAGAATGATCTACTATTGTAGTGTAACAAAAAATATTTACTTTGTAAAGAAAAATAGTAGATGCGAAAATTTGACTAATCAGGAGATTTTTGTTTCGTTTTGCTTTTTCCCTCATGTCTGCAGGTCAATGTTCCTAAAGAACAGAAGACAGAGGCACTCAGGAGGCAGGAGGAGCATCTTCTACAGGACAGCCTGTCAAGCCTTACAGGCAGTCGCGATAGAGCTCTCCATCAAGAAGCTAGGGAAGAAGACTGCGAACTCCAAGCCTGTAGTTTTTCATTACAGATTCGACTTTGCACAGCAAGTGCATTATCCAGTTGACCCCCAACAACCTGGCCCTTCGTATTTCCGTACACAAAGAAAGTGCCACATCTTTGGCATGTCTTATCCTATGTACATACTATTGATCTCTTCGGCTGTGAATTTTGTATGAAACAAGATAACTCAAGAGATTCGAAACTGTTCATCATTAATTCTTGGGCACTAATGCATAATAGTTTATGATTAGTGTAGTCACTAGTCAGATTGCATTTGTTATGGGATTCGTTATTGTTTTTTCTTTACTTTGATAATGAAAGAATATATTTTATATCTGATACTGATTGACTGAAATTAATATTTTTGCATTATTAATCTCTATCTCAAGAAGACAACAGCTCTGTCAAATGGTCTCAACTGTTACTTTATTGTACATTCCTAAATGAACCAGGATATTTTTACAATACATGTATTATAGGTTATCTGTTGTCGAGTGACTTACACGATATCTTTTTTTTTCTCAAATAGTCTTGATTAAGACTAATGCTTTATATCATAGCCTTTATTAAATATGACAAAATATCAATCATTTTGAACTCGCTTTATTTGTTCCAGTAATTATCATTTGAAAAATAGATTCTGACGGGTTTCAAGTTCAACGCAATTCGTTATTTCACTTTATTGCAATCTTATTTTTAATATATTTTTTTTAAATCATTTTTATTACATCTGGTTTTGTAATAGGCCTATTATTAAGCATAAATTTTAAGAAAATGCACTATTACATTTTATCATTGCAACATTGATGTAACCTGCTACTATTTTGTGTACAAGAACAAATTCTGTACTGATGAAACATAATAAACCGTGGAATCGTTTTCCCATCAACTTTGCCTAGTAGAACAAAAACTTTGAAATTCTTTTGTTTTCTATTGTTTTTAAAAATTATCATAACTTTATTAATATTTTTCCAAATCTAATGGTTTTAACAGAAATGTAAGTTGGGTATGTGTCTAGTATGCCTGTAAAATAACAAGACTTTAGCTTGTTTGGTTGATGCCGTTGCTATGAAGTGAATGTATGCATGTTTTTTGTGTGAAAATTGAACCAAATTCTTAACTTTAAACCTCAATATCTCATAATCAACTTCCGGTGATTGAAATCACAAAAATCACAATAACTTTGTCAAATTTCAATCAATTTTTTTAAATGAGGTATCATCTTAAAGGTCATACTTTACTCTTTCCAATGATACCAAGAACTCAATTTTTATTTTTACCATGAAGTGTTGGGTTTTGCCATAGCAGGTCACATATACAGTAGGTATGCGGTTGCACCATGTGTGAGAGAGAGAGAGAGGTTTGAGGAGTCCTGAAAAGGACTCTGACTCGGTAATCTTTCTTGGAGGAGTGTAGTCCTGAAAAGGACTGTCTGTTATCTTTCTTAGCATATAGTTCTCAGGAGAACTATCTCTCTCTCTCACACATGGTGCAACCGCAAACCTACTGTATATCTACATCACCATGCAAGCCGACACTTACAATTTCTTATATTTCTTCATTAATCTGTTATAGGAATTACAATTGTGATTGATTTTAATGAGTCATCCTGTGCAGGTCTCCAGTTCCCAGTGTCTTATAAGCAGAGCTTGAAGATTATGAGGTATTGTGTTTCAAGACAAGCATGACTTTAATGCGCTGTGTAACAAATTGCATTGAATAATTATGTTTGTTTGTACTTGAGAACATTTGTTAAATAAATCCCATTGATGCCAAACGATACAAACGTGTCACTGTTCTTACTGCATTTTTAAAGGGCCAGGCCATAGGTATTAAGCCTGGAGTTGCGATCAATCAAACACAAATTGGCAACTCTTTGACGTATCTTGCGATCTCCCCTCCCATTTGCTCTGGACATAACATTTCATAAACTTTCATTTACTTCGTTATTGCTGACGGAATAAATTTTGTCCATATAGGCGTTGTATAAAAACATATTTGCAATGATCATATTTAAGGTGCATTTATGATGGAAAATTTACGTAAGGAGCAAATGGTAGAGGAGCTCGGAAGATATCTCACAGAGCGTATCAGGATAATTACTCCCTGGACAATCACTCCCCAAAAAATATTACCCCCGGAGAACTAACCCAAAGGACAATACCCCCCCTGGAAAACTACCCCCTGTTAATCAAAGAGGAAGTCCACCCTCAGGCTGATAATAAGTTTGTTTTAATGAAAGAATAACTTTTTCCAGGGGTTTATTGTACTTAAGGATTAATTTTACCGCTGGTAAGTAACTGGGGGGGGGGGGGGGGGGGGGCCCGGCCCCCCTGGAAAAAATAACAAGTTAATTTTACCCTTTTTTTGGAGAAGGTCCCCCCCCCCCTTGGCGCTCAAGGGGGGGGGGGGGTGCGATTTTTCAAATTTTCGAGGGCCCCCCAAACAAATTAGTGCTCACGATTTTCAAATTTTGATTGATCGCATCTATACAAATTCATAACCTTCTTTTTAAACTAGGCCTACATTTTTAATTCTTTTTAAAGTACAATGAAAGGAAATAAACATTTTAAAGGGTTATAATATGGTCTTGCTTGTGTTTGTTCGTTCGTCTGGTTGTTTCTGTTTGTCGTTTTTCCTCCCTCCCTCTCCCTCTCTCTCTCTCCCTCTCTATCCCCACACTCACACACACTTCCCTTTCCGCCATTCAGGTAGTAAGAGTAGGGTAGAATAACAGGAAATGGAACATATGGCTCCGTTTAGTCTCATTTCACAACGCCCCCTATCGTCAGAGCATGGTCAGATTCAGCAGCCTAACATGTTAGCCTATGGACGTTTTTTTACAAAAATCGTTAAAAATTCATTTTTTGTTTAAACGAAAAGCACATCCACCCCGACGTATGTTATCACTAGCTCTTTCATTGGAGCCCTCATGTCTCATTGACTTTTGAAAGTTCACCCACCGTAATTTTTCAAAATAGGTTGCAAGCTCGTCATTGCCTAACATACACATGTGAAACAAGTCTAACTTTGGACTCAGTTTACCAAGCGATTTGAAGATTATAGGTCGAGCACACGAAACATAAAAAGCATGAATTATCATAGATCACTTCTGCCTATTTCGTTTTGTCCATTTCATCCAACCCCCCACCGTAATTTTTCCATTTAGTAAAAGCAAACATTTTGCCGAGTTTAACAAAAACATGAATATTTGTAGATGACGTTGACTTGCTCAGAAATTTGTCGCCCTCTAGTGGCAGCTGATTTTTGGTTCGATGGAGCAAGCTGAGTTTGTTTGTTACCGAATGTTTTGATTTGTCAAAAATCGTATTCTGAGGGATATTCAGTTCACAAAAGGGCACAGAGGTCAGTATATTTATATATATGATGTTTGCTTGCAATTAAGTGCTGTTATGTAAAGGATTATGAAGATTAATTTGGATATAAAGCCAAGTCTGGCTGTATGTAGCGATACGTTCATGTACACGTGTAATGTGCGACTGTGTAGGAATTTACGTAGAACGGTAAATTCATTTATGAAATATTGGATAAAGTGAAGAGTAATGACTGATATATATATGACTTATGACTGTATGAGACAGGTTTCATTTATCATAGTTATGAAAGTACTTGTATTAGGGTAATTTAGGACAAAGATAAATGAAGTTTACAAGGAAGGGTCTGGAAGGATCTACACTTTCTACTTACATAGAAAGGCATATGTGGGGCAATGAAAAGTCATTATTCTTTCGTTATTGGAGTTGGATTCAATTTAGTTAGGCTGTCAAGTTACAAGGAGCCATGGAAGCCTTATAAATTGTATGACATAATGATTATAACGATTGGCAAGGGTTTATAGCCAAGATTATTTGCGTAGATGATTCTGTGATCGATCGAAACTGTAATCGATATAAATGCTCATTTCCTTATTTGGTAACGTATTGAAGCATTGCAGTTGTGGTTAGATTCATTTGCATATTTACTTATTATGCTTGCAATTTTTGTCTTTGTCATACAGTTTTCACGGAGTTACATGGATGGATACGGAGACGTAAAATAAAGATTGACAACTCCCGTAAAAGCTTGTGTCTGACTGAATTTATTGGGTTTTCGTGATCGACAACAGTTACAGTGAAAACTCTTCCACAGTGAATCCCTACCAGAAGATTCCTTGTTTCTGCCGAGACTGGGAAGCTACAGAGACACCTGTTAATCATGACTGAAGAACAACCTGCTCAGCAGAAGCGACAGTCAGTCCCTACAGAAAGGAGCATCGAATACCAGCTCGATCTGAAGACTAAGAACTTCAGAAGCAGTGTGACCTCCTGGCGACGTAAGGCCAACAAGCTAAGAGCTGCACTAATAGATGATGTTGGTTTTTCTGACGTCAAGGCTCTTCGAGATGGGTTACAAGTACTGATGGACACTGTCATCAATGGGCAGGAGAACCTCGCTGAGTTACGATTGTCCTCCGAGATAGCTGATGATAGTGAGGACAAATTAGAGGAAGTTGAGAAAGAACACAGTTCAATCATGAAAAGCACTCTTGAAAGGATGATTGTTCTAAAGGAAGATGAAAGAAGCGATGAAGCATCTTTGAGGCAGGCAGTCACTCCAGACGAATCATCACCTGTTGACCCACCTGTTGACCCACCTGTTCGCGAGACTCCACCCACTGATCCTTTGATTCTCTTTGCAGAACAGTTGAGAGCCTCAAGATTGCCTCTACCTGAACCGACCGCATTTGATGGCGATCCCCTCTTGTATCCAGGTTGGAAACACGCCTTCGACGTTTTAATTGATCGCAGTGGCATCACGCCTATGGACAGGTTCTTCTACCTTGAAAAGTACCTGAAGGGTCAACCCCTAGAACTAGTGAAAGGATATGCTTTAATCGACAACGAAATAGCATATCATGATGCCAGAAAGGCTTTGGAAGAACGTTACGGAAATTCCTTTGTCATAGCTAAAGCCTTTCGAGACAAGATAGAGAGGTGGCCTCGAATAGCCACAAAGGATGCACCTGGTTTGAGGAAGTTCTCTGATTTCCTACGGCAGTGTGTAACAGCAATGGACAAAATTCAGAACCTCCATCATCTGAATGACGACAGAGAAATTCGTAAGATCCTGACCAAGTTACCTGAATGGTTAGTTGTACGCTGGTCCAGGAAGGCCTATCACTGGGCAGACAGCTATGGCGGCTTTCCCCCTTTCAAGCTCTTTGCCGGTTTCATCGAGGAGGAGTCAAAGATTGCTTGTTGTCCCATCACCTCTGTTTATGGATTGAGGGAATTAAGATACGAGAGAGTAAATGCAGCAGCATCAGAAGTCAGAACATTAGCAACTGATGCTACTAGCAGTAGGAATCAGAAAGGAATGGGTGATGGAAAGCAGCAATGGACTGTATCCTGCTTGCTCTGCAAGAAGTCCCACTCCTTAGAAGAGTGCCCTACCTTTTCAACATGGGAGATGGCAGAGAAAAAGAAATTTATCGTTGAAAAGGGCTTGTGCTATGGGTGTCTAAAGGTTGGCCATCGATCAAATGAATGCAAGAAGAGAAGCACTTGTAAGGAGTGTAAAAGGAGACACCCAACAGCACTCCACGTTAAAGACTGGGTAAAGGTTAATTCTTTAAATGAATCATCAAATGAAGATACAACCCAAGACGAAGTGAGATCATCAAGCACACACACTTCAAAACGAAGCAATGGTAAAGAAACTCTCAAAAGCTCAATGATAGTTCCAGTGTGGTTGTCACACCATTCTGCTATCGAGCCAAGACTTGTTTACGCACTCTTGGACACACAATCAGATACTACTTTCATCTTGGATGAAACCAAGCAAGCAATGGGACTGAGAGGTACCTCAGTTAACTTACGACTCTCAACGATGTCAGCAGTGAATGAGAAAGTATCTAGCATCAAAGTAGAGGAACTGGAAGTTACATCTTACGATGGCAAAAACAAGATTTGTTTGCCTCCAGCCTTCACGAGAAAGATCATACCTGCAAATCGGAACCATATTCCCACGTCGGATATGGCAGCATCCATTCCCCATCTGAGTAAGCTACAGTATGAGGTTCCTGCAGAACAGGGATGTGAGATAGGACTACTGATTGGTTATGACTGTTCTAAGGCTCTTATGCCTCGTGATGTGATACCTTCGTCAACCAGTGATGGACGATACGGTGTTCGCACAGATCTTGGATGGAGCATCGTTGGTATGTTTGACGAGAATTATGATGGCTACATCAACGACCCTATTGGAGTGAGCCACAGAGTAAAGGTCTGCATGGTCCCAGAGGACTTGCAAGGGGTCCAAGGTCATGAGGAAGTCTCTTTCTCTCATCGTCGACTAGTGAAGGAAGAGATTGCCCCAACTCAAGTAGTGAAGCTTCTCGAGGCGGACTTCATGCAAGGCACAGAGAGTAAACCTTACTCGCAGAACGACGTTAAGTTTCTCAAACTGGTGGAAAAGACGAATATGTGCAATAATAACCAGTATCCTGTCATTAAGCCTATGGCTACTGAGATGCTCACTCAAGCTGAAAAGGAAATTCTGAAGCATGTTCAGAATGAGGACTTTCCAGATGGAATTCCAGATGAAATTCGTCAACTCCGATGTGACAGAGGGACCAACATTGTTGGCGCTGAAGCAGAGCTCAAGAAAGCTTTGAAGGAGATGAACCATGATCCAGTGAAGAGTCATCTCTTGAAAGAAGGATGTGACTATATCAAGTTCAACTTTAACCTTCCAGCTGCAAGCCGTATGGGAGGGGTCTGGGAGCGCCAAGTGTTGGAAGCGTTACTTCAACAGCATGGTAGACAGTTAGATGATGAAGCTTTATGCACCCTGATGTGTGAAGTGATGGCCATTGTTAACAGCCGCCCTCTCACCGTGGACTTCATCAATGATGGAACTTCAACAGAACCGCTTACTCTGAATCACCTACTTACGCAAAAGTCGAAGGTGATACTCCCACCATCTGGCAACTTTCTGCGACAAGACGTGTATCTGCATAAGTCCTGGAGAAGAGTGCAACATCTTGCGAATCAATTTTGGTGTCGTTGGCGTCAGAAGTGGACCCGTCTAGAACGCGAAATGAGAGTCGGAGACTTGGTCGTTGTTAAGGATAACAATACTCCTAGAAACGCATGGCCAATGGATAGGATCGCTGAAACTTATCCCTCGGATGATAAGCATGTTCGTAAGGTTAAGATCGCAATGGGTGAACAGAAACTGAATGCAGTAGGAAAGCGAACTACCCCATGTTCTTACCTTGAGCGTCCGATTCATAAACTAATATTACTTGTCCCACAGGAAGACCAGGAGTAATTCCCGGACAAGGAGCCATAGCGTAACTTTGCGAAGATTATTTTTAATTTCACTCGTTTAAGGGAAATTTATGACCTGAAGTCATGTTTGTATCATATATGGATGAAGATGACATTGAGTCATTAAAATATGATCCATGAACTCCTGAATTTATTTGAACTGGACCAAATGAAGGTCTGAACTCAGAGACTAGAGACTCACATTTTCTTTGGGTCTGAACTCAAAGACTAATATCTTGTACATTTGAGACTGAATTGAGAGACTAGTACTTTTTACTTTGATCTGGGTCTTAATTTAAAGACTAGGGTTTGGTACGATTTGTGTCTGACATCCAAAATTAAGCTATGCGCAATGTTGGGCCTGACTTTAAAAATGGTCCATTTTGCATGAAGGGTCTGTAGGAAAGACTAAGACTAATTTATGCATGATATTGTTTTTTGTCTGGTTTTGAATTACGGTAACTGGAAATTTTTTATTTCAGTTTAGGCTTGACAAGAAGTCTGAAAGTAAAGACTAGAAATGTATTGCTTTGAAGAAACCCTTAGTATGATTTTGATTTCAGAATCAATCGGGAATGCAATTATTTGTCATGGTTTAGAGTTGTAAATTCTTCTGCGCACTGAAGGAGTAGAATTTCTGGATAGTTTGCATTCAGTAAGTTTATCATACCCGGTCAAGTCAACGGCAAATTATTTATGCAGGTTGATGCTAACTTTTGAGTATTTCAATTTGATTTGAAGGGAGTACAGGTATAGTGTCCAGAAATCGGAAGAATTCAAGTGTTTTTTTTTTTTTTTTTTGGCCTATGAAAATGACAATTGGTCAATAAGTTGTTTTTGTCATTTTCAATGTTCACTTGTGTGTATAAGGAAGTCATAGTTTTTTCATGACTACAGGGCAATCAGTGAATTTACACCAGTTCGGATCTATAAGAATTTGTAAATGTGCTTGTGCTCATTTAAAACGGTTTGATAGGAATTTAATACTTACATGTTATTTCTTGATAATTGGTGACATAGATTACATTCCATCTGATATTCCAGACCAGTGGTCAGAACCTTGTTATTTTACTTAAATGTGAAAAATTACTTGCTGAATGATATTCCACATATTAATTTGCATACTTTAGCTTGATGTAATATCATGCATGTATATAATGTGAAGTACGTACTGTAGAAATTTTTGATCTCTGTGGAGTTATCGGTTAATAACTGGCAAAGAAATACCTATAGAGGGTAAATTAGTTTCAGTTTTTCAACTGATTTAAAGGAGCCATGTAGATGACGTTGACTTGCTCAGAAATTTGTCGCCCTCTAGTGGCAGCTGATTTTTGGTTCGATGGAGCAAGCTGAGTTTGTTTGTTACCGAATGTTTTGATTTGTCAAAAATCGTATTCTGAGGGATATTCAGTTCACAAAAGGGCACAGAGGTCAGTATATTTATATATATGATGTTTGCTTGCAATTAAGTGCTGTTATGTAAAGGATTATGAAGATTAATTTGGATATAAAGCCAAGTCTGGCTGTATGTAGCGATACGTTCATGTACACGTGTAATGTGCGACTGTGTAGGAATTTACGTAGAACGGTAAATTCATTTATGAAATATTGGATAAAGTGAAGAGTAATGACTGATATATATATGACTTATGACTGTATGAGACAGGTTTCATTTATCATAGTTATGAAAGTACTTGTATTAGGGTAATTTAGGACAAAGATAAATGAAGTTTACAAGGAAGGGTCTGGAAGGATCTACACTTTCTACTTACATAGAAAGGCATATGTGGGGCAATGAAAAGTCATTATTCTTTCGTTATTGGAGTTGGATTCAATTTAGTTAGGCTGTCAAGTTACAAGGAGCCATGGAAGCCTTATAAATTGTATGACATAATGATTATAACGATTGGCAAGGGTTTATAGCCAAGATTATTTGCGTAGATGATTCTGTGATCGATCGAAACTGTAATCGATATAAATGCTCATTTCCTAAAGATGGGAAAGATCCCTTTTCACTGAAAAATTATAGACCCATTTCCCTTCTTAATGTCGATTATAAAATCTTAACAAAAATTTTGGCTAAGCGAATCAAGAAAGTATTAAATGAGATCATTATGGGAGATCAGGTGGGCTACATGAAAGGGAGGAATATTGGTGAGGCCATTCGCATTATAGATGATATTATTTTTCATACATCCCGTTACAATTTATCTGGTTTTTTGTTAGCTGTAGACTTCGAAAAAGCTTTTGACTCAATTTCACATCAATTTCTTCAAAAAGTTCTGTCGTCATTTGGTTTCGGTCCGTCCTTTCAAAAGTGGGTTAAAGTTTTATACATGAACACTCTAAGTTGTGTATTAAATGAAGGAGGGTCCACTGGTTATTTCAAAGTAGAAAGGGGAGTAAGACAGGGAGACCCTCTTTCTCCGTACCTCTTTATCTTGTGTATTGAAGTAATGGCACACAAATTACGAATAGATAAATTGGTGGACGGAATTAATTTTGGAGATAAGGAAACTAAACTAGTACTTTATGCGGATGATATGACAATTTTTGTTCGCAATAAAAAATCAATTAATAGGTTAAAAGTATTATTTGCAGATTTCGAAAAAATTTCTGGACTGAAAATAAACAACGACAAGACTAAAATATTAAGGTTAGGTTCATGTCAACGTTTAGATTGTGATTTTGCTTTTGGCGAAATAGTTGACTTTCTTAAGGTTTTAGGGATTTTCTTTTCCCTCGATGAACACAAGAAAGAAGATCTAAATTATAAAGAAATCTTAAGTAAAATAAAAACACTTTTAAATTTTTGGAAGCAAAGGGATTTAACACTTATGGGTAAGATTCAACTATTGAAAGTGCACATTTATTCTAAAGTTCTTTATCGGGCGTCACTTACTCCTGTTCCAAAATGGGTTTATGATTCACTGGATGAATTAACTTTTGATTTCATATGGAAAGGAAAAACAGATAAAATCAATAGAAACACCATGTTCTTAGACTATAACCAAGGGGGGTTAAAGATGTTAAATTTTTCTGCACAAGTTAAATCGCAGCGAATTATGTGGATTCAAAAACTTCTAAACAAAGATGAAGACATGAAATGGAAACAATATTTTAACTTTGTCACTGAACACGTGGGTGGAGATTTGATATTTTCATGTGACTATATACCAAGTTTATTAAAAGTGACAGCTCCACAATTTTATAAGGATTTATTAGAAGATTGGGTGAATACGAGACATATAAGGAGTATAGACATTGGTGATGTGGTAATTTTTAATAATAAACTTATTCGATATAAAGGAAGTTGTATATACGATAAGAGGTTGTATGACAAAGGAATTTACAAATTAAAACATATTCTGGAAAACGATGGTAAACTAAAAAGTGACAGGCATTTTATCGATTTAGGTGTTGAAGTAAATGAAATTGAAAAGATCAAGCACTTTTATACCTGTTTACCAGTTTGTTGGAAAAATAATTTTAGAAAGGGAGAAGAAAAAAATAATTCTGGAACTGATTTCACTTTGGGGAAGAAAACAACTAATATAGCTGATTTAAAATCAAAACAAATTTATGTACAATTAATAAAGAAAGATGATTTTAAACCTTTGGTTTTTGAGAGAATTGGAAGGAACTATGGTTTTTCCTGTAAGGAAATAGAAAACATATTTTTAAGACTAAGACAGTGTACACTTAACAGTCGATTAAGAGAGTTTCAGTTCAAACTTATACATAATATATTATATACAAACCATCACCTCTTCCGTTTTGGTCTTGTCTCGACTAACTTATGCTCATTTTGCGAAAAAGATGAAGAAACATATAAACATTTATTTTATACTTGTGAATTTGCACAATCAGTGTGGGAAATGTGCACGAGATTTTTAGACTTTGAAATACATAACTGTAGTTTGGAGGAAATTCTGTATGGGAAAGAGGAGAGAAATAAAGGAAAATATCAATTAATGAATCATGTTTTAATTCTTGTTAAATATCTGATTTATAGAAATAGAGAACTTAAAAAACCACCCTCTTTTAATGAAATAAAGAATAGTATAATAGGGGATAAAGTAGAAGAAAGGAAATTGGCAGCAATGAGGGGAACTCTCACTATTCATTTTTCTAAATGGGAACACCTGAGTATTAGACAAACAATTGGAACCCAGAGCCAGTCGTCCACCGGTTAAGAGGGGGGGGGGGGGGGGGGAATGGGGATAAGGGAGAGGTCGGGTAGGGTAGGGTTAACAAAAAGAGAAAACTTTTCTCTCAGGACAACAGTATAAAAAGAAGTATAAGTTGCTACATTGTTAAAAAAAAAAAAAATGGATTATACAACTGCATATGTTTTCTTTGAAAATATGAATTTTTGTTTCAAATATGATGTATAGGAACTAACTATGTAAGTTTCCTTTGAAGCCGTTTGTAAGACAAAAATTTATACTGATTTATAATGTCATCACATTTGCAGTGAGAGTTATGATGATTGTAATTTGTACTATGATTATAATTTGTTTCAAGAGAGAAAAGAATAAAAACTGACCATAAAAAAAAAAAATTTCCTTATTTGGTAACGTATTGAAGCATTGCAGTTGTGGTTAGATTCATTTGCATATTTACTTATTATGCTTGCAATTTTTGTCTTTGTCATACAGTTTTCACGGAGTTACATGGATGGATACGGAGACGTAAAATAAAGATTGACAACTCCCGTAAAAGCTTGTGTCTGACTGAATTTATTGGGTTTTCGTGATCGACAACAGTTACAATATTCATGAACGGTCAGACAATACAGCCTTTTAGTACGTAACGTATAGTGAATGGGAATGTGCGATGATCCGTGTAGGAGGTAGAGGTCAGTGGTTTGTGCTGGCAATGTTCACGCGAGCGAAAATGAGACAATCGGAGCAATATGAATGGTAATAGATCGAGGTACAATAATATTTCAATACTGTGGCAGCAGAATGTGATTTGAAGAAGTGTTTTATTTAGCTTCTTTTATATAGCGCTTATCAAAAATGTCTCTAAGCGCTTTGCAAATGTATCATTACCCCGGTCATTAGATTCAGTGCACAATCTCCACTCCCTGGGGAGTATTCCATCCAGGCATCCTACCGGGTACCCATTTAACACCTGGGTGGAGAGTATGGGAGCTAAGTAGGAGGGAGAAGGGGGTAGAATGGTAATATTAACAATAACAGTAATATGCCGTTCTTCAATAGCGCAGAAATCACATAACATAACGTTTCCCTGCGCTTACAATAGAAACTGAATTATTTTTACCTCAACTTTAGCTCTGGCAGCCGTATCGCTCATTGTATTCAATGAATGAACCCTACATGGCACCCACTTACTACACACCCTGGGTCGAATGTGGCAAATGTAAAATAGGGGGGGGGGGAAGCATTCATTTTTAATTCCTCAACGGCGGGGGGGGGGGGATTTTTGTTTAAAGGTAAAATTAACCTGTTTTGACCTGTTTTGGGGGCCAGGGTGTAGAGGACTCCGATCACCGACAAAACTAGCCACCAATTACAAATCCACCTTTTCTCATTGTTCCTGACGGCAGCGCAATTTTACCGACAATATCCTGATAAGTGGGCATGGGTGTCGATCTGTAACTGATACCTATTCATCAGGGGGGGGGGGGTGATCTATTCATTCATCCCCCCTGATGAATAGGTATTACGTAAGGATCGACACCCATGTAAGTGGGGGTGTCGCACCCCTACACCCCCTCTAGTGACGCCCCTGAGTATGGTGGCAGTCTAGCAGAGGTAGGATGGTAGTATAGATAGGATGGTAAAAGATGTAGTTTGGTAGTAGAGGTAGAATGGTAGTGTTCATGGTCGTATAAGAGGTAGAGTGGAAGAACGGGTAGGGTGGTTGTAGAAGTAGAATGGTAGAAGAGGTAGGAGGGTAGAAGGGGTAGGTTGGTAATAGAGGTAGGGTGGAAATAGAGGTAGGATCAAAATTAGAGATAAAATGATAGTAGATCCAGGATGGTAGTAGAGGTAGGATGGTGGTAGAGGTAAAATCGTTGTAGATCGAAGTAGGAGAGGTAAGGTGGTAATAGAGGTAGGAGGGTAGCAGAGGTAGGTTGGTAGAAGAGGTAGGGTGGTTGGAGAGGTAAGATCGAATTACAGGTAATATAGTACTAGATCCAGGATGGTAGTAGAGGTGGAGTGGAGGCAGAGGTAAGATGAGATGCTAGTAGAGGTAGGGTGGTAGTAGAGGTAGGATGAAATTAGAGTTAAAACGTAGTAGATCCAAAATGGTGGTTGAAGTAGGAAAGAAGTACATAGTGTGCTATAAGAAGATGCCTGGAGAAATCATATCCATTCAAAACCCTTACTATAGTCTTGGTACCCCTTCCCCTCCCTTAGAAAAGAAAAGAAAAGAAGAAAAACAAAAAGAATTTGTTGGGTTTCAGACCGGGTTATGAATATCAGGATACTAACCATCCAAAGCGGCTGTCTATTTTCTTTGTAACATGGGTACCAGCTGTAACACATGAAAGGTGAAAGTAGATGAAAAGGGGCATGCAATTGTGTGTGTACCTGTTGTGTGCATGTTTGTACAAACCTCAAGGAAGGGGGGGGGGGGCTGTACAGGAGCCGCAGTTTTTATTTGGGATTTTGATATTTTAAATAGAATTCACTGGAAATAATGGAAAAAATATAATGAAAATATAATGTACTGTGACAATCATTATGATACATGTGAAACAATATGATGCCTTACTGAAGAAAAGACTTAATGTAATGAATGCAATCAAATTTGATGTATAAACCTGTAAAGTGCCATGTTACAAATTAATTAATTCCACCCGAATAATTGTATTTCAATAGTCAGAATGCGAATTGCAAACATTATGTAATGCTAGGTAGGGCAAGCCACAATGTTAGTCCTATCTTACCACACATAATGTATGGAAGTCTCATTCTGGCTATTGGAATACAAATATTCGTAACAGGTGATTGAAATGATTTGTAATGAGGCACTTAACAAAGATTTGTGCATTAAATCTGATTGCATTACAAGAATAGCCTATTGGTAATTAATTTCCGTGTCATTACCAATATCATGAATAGCTTTTAACATGATGGTCCCACCAATAGCTAATTATATTATGAGAACCTACTCTCTAAAAAAAAAAAAGAGTGAATTTTCAAAATCACGGACGTCACTCCTCTGGAGAGTGAAAATGTAGTGAAAATAGAGTGAACATTCACTCTTTTCTTCTAGAGAGCACTCTAAAATCAATCGATTTTCACTCCTAAACAAGTGATCACGGACGTCACTCCCAAGAAAGTGAAAATTGAGTGAAAATTCACTTTTTTTTTTAAAGAGAGTATGTGTAAATTAGAAACAGCACATCTGCTTAATACACAGTGTAAGTAACTACAAGCAATTGATTCTAAGCTTCATAAAAATAAAAAAAAAAATAGAGAAATGTAATGATAACTTCAGAATGAGTGCCTATGCTGAAAATCCCTGTGAAAAATATTCTTAGGAATTCTATGGAACCCGAAATGGAAAGCCCCTTTTCAATAATTTATAGCTTTTCGTTATGGATACAGTATTGTCATCATGTATGTAGGGGAATGTAGGGGGGAAACCCGGTTTAGTGTAAACCTGCACACCCCATGGGCTATACCTGGAGGAGAGACCCGAAGGTTACAGTGACTCGGTTCGCCTTTCGCCTCCCAGGCACAGGTGACGCCAAATACGTACAAAGAGTTATAGCGTCTTCTTTTCACACTGCTCTCCATACCAAATACGTCACACATTGCGATCTATAGAACTGCAACGAAGTGAAACAAATTGAACTATAATGCACTCGTTTTTTTGTTCTGATATTCAAACGCTACAGGTACAAACACAGATTGAAGCCAAAGCCGCTTTGAATGTGTTATTGTGCGGTGGCAATATACATTTGAACTTCCAGAATATGAATAGAGGGAAAGAGAGAGAGAGAGAGAGAAAGAGATATATATTAGGGGGGGGGGGGGTTATAGTAAGATAGAGACAGAGGTATAGATAGAGCAAGCAATAGAGAAAGAGATATAGAGAGAGGGAAATAGAAAATTGCGGACAAAAATTAATATGTAAAAAAGTTTTGTTAAAAGGTGAAGAAATGCATTGAGATAGACGTAGAAAGAGGGAAAGAGAGAGAAAGAGAGAGAGACAGACACAGAGAGAGAGATTAAGGGGCGGGGGGGGGGGGGTTATAGTAAGATAGAGACAGAGGTATAGATAAAGCAAGCAAGAGAGAAAGAGATATAGAGAGATAGAAATAGAAAATTGCGGACAAAACTTAATATTTAAAAAAAATAAAAAATTAAGGTGAAGAAATACATTTAGATCTAGACGTAAGAGATAACAAGAGCAGATATAATGAGAGAGATAGGGCGATGGAGGTTATAGAACAGGTGAGAGAAGGGAAGGACTATGTAAATATAAACATGATAAATTAATAGAGAGTTAAGAAGGAGCTAGAAGGTGAAGAGATGAGGAAGAAGAAATGAGAATGGAAAGAGAGGAATATAGAGCAAGAGAGAGAGAGAGAGAAGGGGGAGAGAGAGAAATTAGGAGAGATAAAGGGAGACTGAGAGAGAAAAAGAGAGATAGAGATAGAGAGAAAGAGATGGTTGAATAGTCACGTATTGTCGAAGGCGCACTGGCAGCTGTCATAGTGGGTGTTCATTATTACCACTCTGTGTTTATTTCATATCGCGGACCATACAACGTGTGACAGACATAGCAATAATATATAATACACCTATCTCTACACTCTACACCAGGCGAGCCCGTTACAATCCTTCTTTACTTATAGCCTTAGGTTAGGTAAGTGAAATTACATCATCATTATCATATACATTTATCACGGTTTGTAATGACATGCTATTTAATATCAAATGCAGGAAATAAAAGCGAAAATATGGTCTATTTTGTAAGGGGTGTGTTGACTAAAATTCTACTCATCAGACCGGGGAAAGATATGTATAGACAGTATAGGTCATAATCGATTCATGATCATCGAAAGGACAGGAGCCATGATTGCTGACCTCGGGTAGTTGCAAATCGTTTGCACTCAGGCAAAATAGGTTAGCAGAGGATCTGAAGTAGACTAGATAACGTGTTTGATGTTTGATTTTTATTTTACGGCCCCACATAAAGAATGCCATTTGTTATAATGGAATTTCTATATCATGTCACTTGAGTTTATTTTTGCTCATAAACTATTTCAGTATTTCGTTAGGACTGTATGCGTTTTTGTTTGGGAGGGAGGTCAACAACACAAAAACTATGATGATTTACCTCAGAAATCTAAAACTTGTTTAAAGTTCAAGTCCACTCCAAAAATAACTTACTTTCAATAGAAGCAGAAAAATCAGACAAACCTATCAAAACAAGCTTGAGCTAAATCGGATGACTAATAAGAAAGTTATGGATTTTTGAAAAAGAATGTAAACCTATGGAACAATGAAAATCACTACACAAATTTCCAATTGGGTTATCAGTTTGTGACGCCATGTCCTCACTATTTCCCAAAAATTCCCAAAATTTAAAATTGCCCTAATAACCTATGTGTTCAAAAAAATATTAGTCGTGTCACTGTCATTATGATTCTGCTTGCATTATTTGGCGGTTGTTTATGAGGTTGGGAGAGGAGAGAGAGTGTGTGTGTGTGTGTGTGGGGGGGGGGGGGGGG